GTGCTATGTCATTGGCTTTAAACAGTAACAGCCTGATAGGTAGATGCAATATTTCCGTAAAAAATATTTATATATCCAGCACTGATGTCCTATGTTAAATTTCTTCTTGCCTTATATCACTAGTATAAAAATTATGAAAACTTGATCATTAAAACTAGATTACAGGCACAGGTTATTGAGGGTGTGCATCGATGCCATGATTTTATCTCCTCCCTTCTGTCATCTCAGACCCAAAGAGAACTGGATGTCTCAGTGAAGTTAAAAGTATAGTTCCTTAGACCTTTTGCAGTATTTACGAAAAAAAAGAAGACGACCTTTTGCAGTAAGTGACAACTATATAAACAGTGATCATCGTATACTATATACTCTTCTTTTAGCTTGATTCATACTACATTGACTTTGTACGCAGCTTTCTTTTTCTCTTATACTCGTGCCTAATGCTTTTCCAACAGATCTACCATCACTGTCTGCCCAACATGAAACATCCCTCAAGGTGAAAGTGAAGTAACAAACAAGGTCAATTAGGATATACATATATGTATATATGCGGTTATAATAATAAATTAACAATGCTTAGGAAAAATAAGAGGATCTTCTATGGACATGTCAAAAGATAAATGTTAAATTTTAATTTAATGGCTGATGACAATGTCGAATTTTCTTCTCCTCTAATTCATGAAATTCTTTTTAGGAGTTCTCGGCACTTATGCCAAGTGGTGTTCCCACCATTGGGACTCTGACACTTAGATATTCTTTTCTTTCTTTTTAATTAAATAAATTTAGATGTTAAATTCTCACAGACGAGGAACACCATCTAGCACAAGTATTGGGAACCCTTAAAATTTTCTCCTGATTCATATGTTTTTTTTGTTGTTGTAATAATATTTGTAGGACCCATTTTAAAAAGAAATCAACTAAAACAAATTTTCTTGGTTTACAATTAGTGCGTTAATGAGACCTACACAACAAAACAATTAGAAAATTAATTGACATCCCATTTTCTCATATGTCAGAAATGGCAACAAAAAATTGTTATGTCGATCCACGTAGGATTGACATATTGGAACTTCTTCCTACCTTCAAATTTGATTGCATGACATTTCACTTAAGACATCTCATTTGAAGATGCTCTAAATAGTCAACTACGTAAATAAGACATGTTAGATGGTGACAAACAAGATTGGTGGCAACGAGCATAATGAGCGGCAAATGGGATAATTAGGGATTTAACATATATTTCTATGACTATTTAACACAATTCATTAGGATGTCTAGTTAGTTACGAGACTTTATACAAGAGACTTGTAACTCATTGAATTTAGAACATTAACCCTATGCATTTGAGGTCGGAGTTTGCGTAAAAAGAAAATACAAGATTTAACTAGCCCACCAAAAGTAGGTTAACGAAATCTAGGCAAGCACCAAAACTTGATAGAGTTGTAACAGCTCGAAATTTATGCGGCCGCAAGGAACAGTAGTGTAGGGTGTTTTTTACATGGCTATTCTGGTACCACTTAGAAGTTAGAAACTAAGATTAACTACTAAGTAGCTGTTAGAAACTAAGATCAACTACTAAGTAACAGTTAGAAACTAGGATTAACTGCGTGCTAAGTAGGTAGCTAGGGTGGCCCCGGAAGATTTAATCCACTAATTACCAAAAAGTCGCCCAACTTTGGCAGTCACGTAGAATTCTTAAATTTAATCAATGATAATCGGCATTAAAGTTTAGCAAACTAGTAATCAAGGAGACCTGAAATGGTTGAAAATCATGTGTTCTGTGAATATCAGATTGTGCGCCAATGCATGACACGTACCAGGCAATGGAATGACAGATGCCATGCACCGGGCAATGGATATTGGATGTGTGGCCAAGAGTTCAATGACCAAGCCAAAAATCCTGGTGTATACTGTATATTAGAAAAACCTCATCTCTGTACAGCCAAAAGGCTAGTGGCAATAGGGCTTTTCCCAACTCCGGGAGGGCCTGGAGCTAATATGGGATAATCCCAAACAACAATGCATATTAAGATTTCGACAAGGCCTTGGGGGTGGGTGGGGGGCAACAACAATGGGTGCATAAAAAGTCCATCCCCTTGATCCAGTCAGGGACATTCTGCTAGATCCCGGCTCACTCACTACAAGAAAAATGGCCTTTGGGCACAAAATTAGGGACACCAATGAGGTGTTTGTGTTTGTTTAAACACCAATAAGGTGGAACAGTGCTCATTTGGTAATGGGCACCATGACTTGTGCGCAATGTTAAGAAAAGTGGACACAAACACATTACTGGGCACAGAGCCATGACTTTTGTGCCGTTAATGTTAGCAATGGAAATTTTTTATTAATTTGCAATGACACCATAAATATAATTGTGTCCTATAATTTAATATATTTAAAGTAAAAGTAGATTTTTTGTGCCCTTTGTTTAAAATAATGTTTTAAACAAAATAAGAAACCATTTTCCTCAATCTTCACGCCTCTCTGTGTTTCCCCTTTCAATTCCTCCGCCTCTCCTCTCTCTCTGGCTCTCCCCTTCCCAATCGAACCGAGCCTCTCTTCAACCCTAGGCTCTCTCTCTCTCTCTCTCTCTCTTTCTCTCTCTATCTATCTATTTTCGCCAAATTTTTCTATTTCCCTCTCTGTGTCTCTCTCGCCTCTCATCTCAATTCTCAAGTTGGAGTTCACATCTCACGCAGAAACAGAATTTGCAAATCCTTCCCCTTCAAATTTCACACACACTGAGAATCGGTGGGTCTCAACTCAAGTCTTCAGTTGAGTTCACAAATTCTCACAGACTCTGCAAATCCATCTCTTTCACACAGAATCTACAAATCAGTCGACCTCAACTCTCATCTCATCCCGAGTTCCCCTTTAGTTCAATACCTGTATAATGGGATTCTTTCCTTTCCACTTCGTTCCAGGTAAAATGGTAACAATTTAGAACTTGTATTGGTTAATTTAGTTAATAATTTGTAATTAATTTTAGGGTTAGGGTTTGTTTGAAACACAAGGGAACTGAGCGTTTTTCTCTTTTGGGTAATCAAAAGGGGATTTGATCTGGTTCAGATTCAAACATACCCATTTTTGCTTCGAATGGGAAGTGACCTGCTGTCACTTCGAATAGGTTTATACTGGAAGGTGATTGGCTGTTTTTATGAATTAACAAATATTGAGTTGTATATGTACTAATTAATGTATTAGCTAATGGTATATTTGGCTTTGGAAAGCTGTTATTCAGCTTTTTCATGGCACAATAATTAATTGGAAGGCTGTTATTCCATTTTGCTCAAATTTGTTCATATTTCTCGTTGATTGTACAATTCAGGTTGATTGTTCATATTTGTGACTTGTCACTATGAACGCATTTGTACAATTTAGGTTGATTGTACAACGAGTGGGTTTTCGTATTTGTACAGTAGGCAATGATTCTTTAAGGAAGGTGAACTGGTAGAGTAATTTAGTTTAGGAAATAAAGTATGAATTGGTACTGGTAGTAGTATGTATAATGTATTAATGAACTTACAATCTAGAAAGAGAAGGAGGTTTCTTAGAAAGCAAATGAACTGGCACTGGTTTTACTTTGATATGTTGTCAAATTGCTCTGGTACTGGAAGTGGCAAATGGTTTATTTGTTCAAGTCTCTTCCAATTTTTCTCCCAATCTTCCCTTTATAGTTAATTTTATTTCCAACTAGCTTTTGTATGCTCTCGTCAAATTGCTTGATATGATGCTGTTAATTTCCAACTAGCTTCCATCTAAAATTTCCCCGACAAGAACTTCCATACGTCCTTATCCAAAGAAGCACAAGAAAGCACAAACCTTGCAAAGGGCTTCTACAACAAACAGGGGATTATGATATTAACCTTCAGAGCTATTGTATTTGCTTACCTGATTTTTCTTCTTATATACTTGATTAAGACATTTTGAATTTGCAGGTTCTGAAAGATGCTGAGGTAGCCTTACTTCATGGCAGATTTGGAACTTCTAGGTATTGATTTTAATTAACTCCGTTTTTTGGTGTCTTTTTCGACTGATTGTGGGAATGGTTTTGAATTCGACTATATTTGTTTTAATGACTATATAATGAATGTGTATCTATTTGACTACATAATGAATGTGTATGTAATGAATATTGTAGTCTGTTAGCCGAGTGGGTCTTTTATTCACTAACATCAAGCGAAGGGTTATGTTAGTCGGTTTCAACAGGTTTTTGCCATGGTCGCTCTCAATAGCGGTAATTCCAGTTGGTCAATTTCTTTAGTCTGTTACATAACTTAAAAGGATAGGAAACTTCTCTAGTCTCTGCTTGAATACTGGAATCAAAATGAAGATGATAATATTTATCTATAACGAATCTGATCCTTGAGCAACTAGCCATGTAACCTTGTGCAAAGTCTTATGGGACTGAACAACCTAGTAATGCATTTTTAAGTTTTTAATGTTTGAAAGTTTTTTGGTCCTTGAACATCACTGGAAATATGTGGTAGTTTCCCCTTTTGTTGGTTGTGTAAACTGCTTTATGGAAAATCTTAGAAGTTTTGTTTGTTTTTTATCTTGCTTGTAAATGTATTTTTTATGAGGAGTACTTGTAGTTTCCCCTATTAATCTTTTGCTTCCATTGTTGGTTGTTTTGGACGGTGGAGTTGTTAAATAAGAATCATCTTTAAGCAGGTGGTGGAAAGGCCCCTAAAGCAAATATGAGTCCTCCCACAGACGATAGAGGTATGTCTTTCATTCTTTATCCCTTCATTTTCTTTGCTCTTGTAAATTGTTTGGTTTTTCTTTATCTTTGAATTTATATGTATATGTACGTATGTATGTATGTATGTGTATCTACTACACTGAATTCGCAGGCTTTTAGTTTGTTTAAGTGCTGAATTTTTGTAAAGCTGCATTTTCAAATGCTGAATTTTTTTTACCTAAACTTTGTTTCCCTCTTTTCCCATACAGGTTGCTCTGCTTGGGTTTAGTTTTAAGCACATTGAAAATGGAGGGGAAATTGATGCCAGTGCACCTTGGGACTACGTTGAGATTCAGATTTTTCCATCCCAGAACAGGTTAGGTTTTCGCCTTTCGGTAAATTTTATTCTTTTAAGGGTATATGTTTTCTCCTCTGTTGTATTGGATTATAAAAGTTTGTTCTTTTTGTATATGCTACACTAAGTGCATTATTATTTCCCGTTGGTGATTCCTTTTGTCTGGTTATTCCATTGGAGAGTAACTACATGATTTTTTGTGTATTAGAATTGATAAGTTACCTTTCCTCTCTTCGGACTTATAATAAATCGATAAATTATAATGATTTTTCATATTGTTGTATAGTTCCCTACCGAGTGGAAGCACGAAAGACATTATCAAAGCTGAAAGCTACTTGATTATAAGCAGGTTAGATTTCAAAAAACTTATTTATTAGCTTGTGCTTGCCTGGTTATTTGTTTTTTTACTTATTCTTTGCTCTTTTCTTCAATTTGGCTGGTTGTTGCATTATGCTGCGAAGAGTATATCTTTCTACTATTATAATTATAGGACTAGTGTAACAACTTGCTATTTAGCTACTCTCTTACATAAGAAATCGTTAAAGTTTATGGTATGTATATTTAGGCAATGATTGAAAAATATTTATGTATTTTGGTTGGCGTTTCTGTCGAAACTTTGCTACATAGTCTTTGAAAAGAAAGTAGCAATGCATCAGCATCGCTGCTTTTACTGCTCGATAGATTTCTCACTCATGTTCATTTTCACAGGCTGGAGCAGGGGCTGAAGGTTGTTTGCGGTGGTTGAGGGTTGTCTGGCATGCGAGGAACTCGAGAGTAATGGTATTTGTTAGGTTCTTAGATTTAGCTAATAGTTTTTCATGGAATAAAAAATGTATTACGAATTATTTTCATTATATGTATGAATAATTTCTTATTGATGGTATTAGTATTTGAATATATATTTTTTTATATATTTATCCTATTGGGCACAATAACAAACTTGTGCTAACGAAAAAGTCATCTGACATGGGTGTCAGAAAAGAGGCACAGAAAACCCTTATTTGTGCTGAGCCTTTTGGTCAGCAAAGACCATATTGTGCCCTTTGACAAATGGTGACGCCCATAGAGGGCACAGACGTAAACATAGTAGCTGCATTGTTGCTATTGGTCTATAAGCACAATTGTTGGTGCTTTTTGGCCTCAAAGGGAACAGATAATTTATTGTGTACAGTGCTCATTTTTCTTGTAGTGACTGTCGTCAAAACTTGCTTAACTAAAAAAATTTCATTTAGGCCAAATTGCTGGAACCTCAATTGCCTGCGATGTCAATTGCAGTTTCATCTCTTAAACGATGGCAATATACAAAACAAGTTAGAAACAACTAAAGACTATATAGGAAAGAGCGATGAGAAGCGAGATTCACGTAGTTCGTTTGGAGTCCAGGCAAACCTATAATGTAGGTTTAAGGCATTTAACTCCAAATACCAGCCTTACAGCATTTAGTCTCCGAACGAAACTCCATTAGAAGAGCATTTGACTTTGGGATTAAAGTTGAGAACTTGAGATAAGTTTGGTTGTATAAATGAAACTCTCCTCAGAGTATGCTTACACTGACAATGATAAACAGCGAGAGTCATCCCTTCTAGGCTAGAACAATAATATAGATCAGAGAAGCTTGCTAATATTCGTTCTAAATCCTAAATGGTTAAACCTCGGTCTTCATATGGTTGAAGTTGGGGAAAGACAATCACAATGACAGACAAGAATCGCAAAATTATTGCAAGAAGAAATCTTAAAAGTTAAAAAAACGAGCGATAATGTCATCCATGACAACAGCAGTTGCATTTGGATTTTAGACAAATACATTATTGGACAAACAAAAGGAGGAAAAAAAAATGGTTGTGTGAAGTACCCTTATTCATGTCAAACACAGCACTTCATTAAGTAAGCAGACTAGACAAATATCCATGCTAACATGAAAATCATCTCTTTAGTTTGACGAGAGGAACAAAATAACATAGATATTTTTCCAGAATCCCATAAGCCTGCAAGAAGCCAAAACAAGCTGAGAGTCATTGATACAATATAAACATGAAAACAATAAGCAAGCAACGCCAAATATAAGTACATAACCTGAGAAACCAAAGGATATAAAAATGCAAACACAACGACGATAACCAAGGTGAGAAATGGGGAAAGAGAAAGTAAAAATTAGGAAAGAGCATGTGTATAGCCGTTATCTCTATGCATCTTCAACGGGCTAATCATTTATGAAAAGAAATTAGCACATTCAGGATGCAGCCAAATAGCTCAAAGGAAATTGAGAACCGTCACCAGAAGCAATAGTGTCCGTCCACTTATGGATGTCAATGAAGTGAAAGCGATTCCTACAGATAGATTTCAATATCAAATCATTCAACAGAAGATACCAGCTGTGAAAACCAGGCTTTGTGGTTTAGTTTTTTCAATATGTCTTGAATTAAAGACTTTCTCTGTCCCACAGCCTTCCAAACAAGAATAAAATAAGCTAAAATATTCTCTCTGCTCTCTAGTTCTACCTTTAGTTCATCCCCATGGATGTTTCCATGAGTTCTTCCCAAAAGGAACTAGAAAAATCATCATGGATCTTTCTATCAGGTCAAAACATAATTCCAAGTGTGATCACCCAAGCCAAAGCATAGATTGTGCCAGACTTTGACTGATGCATCTCCAACAAACAAATTGAAGTTTCAATGAGATTGGACTCATTGGACCACATAATACTTGTCTAATATCTATATAAAGGTTGGCCATGTGCATTAACTTCCATGACAAATTGGCGTTAGACGAGAGATGACTTGCAGGCCATGCAGACAACATGATCCTAAATGTGAGCTCTCATGGTTGCTTGTTCTCTACCTACAACGTTATCAGCATTAAGGCCTCCAGCCTGACTTGCAGGCCATGCAGACAACATGATCCTAAATTCAGGGGGCGAATGACTCACCGCAATGAACAGAAGGTTTTACCAAGTGAACAATCTATGTTCTTTCCATTAACTTTCACAACAAGATGACAAATATAACAGTAAACTGTGCCCAAACAAAATAAAAGGCCCACATTTCCAATCCTCGAATCAGATACGGACTATGACTCAAGGTTTAAGGTGTAAACTGCTGTGTTTGTGGTACATTTACTGCTCATACTCGTATCAACTAAAGACTCGTTGAATCGAAGATTTTCATGGTTTCCCCAGGCTATAAAGACTTGGATGGAGCACGTATAGAGGTCCATTAAAGCAAAAAATGCATCCTGCTTCAGCATCAGAGAAACTGAAATTGCACTAATCCAAAGTTACAGCTAAAACGCCGCTGAAAGCAGCAATTCCTAATCAATCAAGCCTCAAAGGCATAAGATTTTATATCAACTAAGAACAAAATTGCTACCCTAACTTCACCATTCAAAATGCTCCAATCTAAACCCTAAACCGTATTATGACTAAAACCCTAAGACGCTCTGAAAGATAAGAACAAATTCTTTGTGATGGATGGATGATGATTTTAAAGTTTTGGATTCTCTAACTAAGGTATGAACCGATTTATGTAAGTCTTTTTTTTTTTTTATTTATTTCAATTATTTTTGTTTAGGGTTTAGGAGTGTATTATCTGCAAAAAAGGGCTTTGTCAGCCCAAGTCTGTGTTAAACAAAAGAAAGAAAAAATGGATTTATGCCCTACTTTTTGCCGGGAAAAAAGGGGGAGTTTGTAAAGGAAAAATGGTCTTTAGTTGATGGGATTATGCTGAAATTAAGGCTATAACCATGCGATTTTCCATGGAAACTTTTTTGAAAGTAAGTGCTTTGGTGAGGGCAATTATCACCGATTCTTATTAATTTTGATTTCAATTTCTATCTATATAAAATCATGAATAATTGAAGGGAAAGATACCTATTGACGATGGTGGCAGTGGCGGTTGTTGTTGTGGTCACAGTAGTGGAGGTTGTGGTTATGGTGACGGAGGTGGCAACAATGGTGGTTGGAGATGGTAGTGGTCACTTTATTATCTAAGGGCACGTTTATGTACCTGCAATCGGAAACAATTTACAGAATTGGATTCCGATTATGGGATACACCTTTGTTTACGTAATCTTGGGGAATCAAAATACATGTGGAGTCGACATGCATTAAGGAATCCCACTCCTTATTTTGGAGAAATTGGACTCCCTACACGAGGGAGGTATTTCAATTCCTAGACACGTGAGGAATCCGGAATGAATTTCTTCTACCAATTATGCCCTCACTTGTTTCTGATTATCCCAACATTGCCCTTCATTTGACACTTATCCAACGCAGCTCATTCTCCGTCTCTATCAACTAGGGGTGGGCACGGTGCGGTTCGGTGCGGTTCCACCCCTAAACCGGAATCGGAATCGAAATATATTAACGGTTCGATTCGGTGCGGTTCCACTTAAATTTATTACTAGAACATTACGGTTCGGTCTACACCGGTTCCGATTCGGTTCTTGCCGGTTTACGGTTCCTAATAATAAATTATTTGAACACCAAATCATTATGCATTCAAATACATCTTCTAAAACCGATTACATAAAGTTGCATACAACACATCTTTTTTAATGCAAATGTCTTTGGTAGTGGCACCAAGTCAACAAAAAGAGACAACTAAAATACATACGCACTGGTCAATCAGTCAACAAACAAAAAAATGATGAAGCAAATTGCAGGTTTTCAGACTTCAGAGAGCAAGCAGGAAGCAGCAGCTCATGTACACAATTTTTCAACCTATTATACCATGACATGTGTGTGTATATATAATTTATTTATTTATTATTAATAAAATGGTTCGGTTCGGTTTGGCCTGTTCTTGGTCATTCGAAACCGGAACCGGAACCGGTTTGAACGGTTCGGTTCGGTTTTTCACTCAAAGTTGACTTTTCCGGTCAACACGGTTTTTTTTCTTACGGTTCGATGCGGTTTTGCGGTTTGGCGGTTTTTATGCCCACCCCTACTATCAACAACACATCCTCCGCCGCGCAGGGCCACATCACATACCTTGCCTAATCTCCATTTGTTTCACAGAATCGCTGGACTCTTACCTGAATATGACCGTTGCACTCTTAACCGATGTAATGGACCGGGATCAAGACGGCAACTAGACCACTCCGCGCTGGACCATGAATGGCCTAGATATAAGGCGGTGGCTATGGAGGCGTAAGGGTGTGGAAGATAGAAACAGGGCAAGGAAAGGCAAGGGTGGGTGGAGGGCAATGCAACTGGACTTCAAGATGAAACGGAGGCATGGGAAAGATGGAGATGTGGGGGATGGATGGAAATTACCATCTTTTAATAACTAAATAAAACCTATTTATATATTTTTATATAGATGAATTTTGTTATATAAATTTAATTAAGAAATTTATTTTAATTAATTAGTATGAAAATAATTTATTTATGTAAGGGCAATTTAGTAATCAACCTAGTTTTAATTCCGATTGAAGTGAATTAGTAAACAACTTATATAGACTCAACTTTATTCCTACTCTGATTCCACCTAATTTCAATTCCTCTTCAATCCTCGATCTAATTACGAATTGGTAAGAGATAAAATGTATGTGGAAGGATAAATATGTTATTTTCAAAACTTAATGAAGGTATTATAATAATTAAAAAACATTTATTAAAGGCTCAACTATGCGTTTTATTAAAGTAGCTTTTAAAAGTTACGCTGCTTTTAAAAGTTGGAGGGTATTGCTTTTAAAATAAGCAAAGATATTTTACATTTATTAAACATTTTTTTACGGTTTAACTTTGATGTGAAGCAGTTTTTTGTGAAAAAAAGAAAACCAATACTAACGATGTCTTAGTGTTAAAAAAATAAAAAAAATAAAAAAAATTCAAAACCCCCTTTTTTATAATTTTTATTCCAAAATTAAAACAATTTTCCTTATTTATTTTTTCCCGAAGGTGCCTCTTTCTCTTGTTATCTTTTTTGCCCTCCTCTCTCCCCTAGTACTGTTATCTCTCTCTCTCTCTCTGCAACTTCACTTTGCTTCATCTCAGCCCACAGAGATCTCTCTCTCAAGCTTTCTCTCTCTAAAGCTCCGATCGCTCCAAGCAGGTTCTCCAGACTCCTCTCTTGAATCTAACTTTCTTTATGTTTACAGTTTACTACCTCTGCTGGTTAATTTCACATTTAATTTTATTTATTCTTCAATAGTGATTGATCTGTAATATCATGTTTCCCAAACAAATCTCTTCATTGCTTTGGATGTTGGTGCGGATAAATTTCTGTGCTTTTTCCGTATTTTGCTAAATTAGGGTTTATGGAATTTTAATCAGATATTGTTTTGTTTATCATTATAGCTGTTATGTTCTGGGCTACTTCATTTTTTCAGCTGGCCCTTTTTTTCTTAGGTCAAATTCACATGGTCTACTCCATTTGGGTTTTATTGGGATTTCTATAACATGAATAAATACTTCTGGGTTTTTGAAATTGTTTATAATTGTAAGCAAATTTCCGCGATTTGAGCGTGTACGTAGGGATTGGTTTCTAATGTGTGATTTATGGTATTGTGATAATACACTTATGATTTAGTACTTGTTACTCGAAACCGTTTTAGCTCATCATCCTTGGACTTGACTTAGCTTATCGGGTCATTAGGGTTTTGTATTGCAGTTATTGTGTTGCTAGTATTCTGATTCTCTTGTTGCAAATATGATATTCACAATGTATCAGTGCTTATGCTTCTACATTCTTTATCAAATCTTACTAGATTTTGTGGTGCTTAAAGTTTGATTTTATTTGTCATATTTTTTCAATTTATTGATTTTTTTTATTGGTTGGTTATGATTCTAATGTGTGAATTGTGATATTACACTTATGATTGACTTCTCGAAACCGTTTTAGCTCATATTAATTTAACATATGAGCTCAAAGACAAAACCTTTTGTGCTTTTAACTTCAACTTAAAGTGCCCGTGTGTGCTTATCGGGTTATAAAATTGCTCATTGTCATTTTTACTTTGCTATGTTGCGGATTCTCTTGTTACAGATATGATATTCACAATGTATCACTTGTTATGCTTCTATATTCATTGTAGCGTTGTTTTTTAAATGTATTGATTTTCTAATTGGTTGAAATGGGTATGTGCTTTCCGCTTTAAAATTTCAAAGGTTGTTTTTCTTTCATGCATTTGTTAGGTCTTGAATAACTTAAAAAGCATGTTGCTTTGGCTCTCGTGTTGTTATCATGTGTTTTTTTTTTTACATCTTAGTAGTTTCGTCATTATGTTTCTTACTAATATTATGGATTTTAAACTCTCTGTAGATAGTCATGCAGGAAGCGACTGCTGCCCCTGCTCCCAATGCCCAATTTGTTAGCAATGCCTTTGTGGAGCAATATTACCATATTCTTCGCCAATCTCCACAGTTAGTGCATAAGTTTTAATTTTTATCAGGATTCAAGCTCTCTGAGCAGGACGGATATCAAGGGCAATATGACAACCGTGACAGCCATGGAAGTAAGTATTCTTTCATATATTTTCATGACACAGTTTCTACTTCAAGCTCATGGTTTAGTTTTCGCAGAAATTATTTTCTAACAAGTTTTGAGATTTGATTTTCAATTTTTGTATGGCTTAACATGAATTAGGCAGCGCTTTTCTGTATGTTTCGGATTCAGTTTTTCACTTTAACACATTAAAGAAAGTTTAATTTGTAGCAAGCATGTAGAAATATGTATATGTTGTAATGGTTGAACATGAATTTGGCAGCTTTTACATTGTTGTATTAAACTTTTCTATAAGTGCATGTTGAACAAATACACAGACAGGATGTCTATTTGATGCTTAAGGCTCCAAATTTAGACATTTATTGACAATTGTAACTAGCCTATACAGTAACATTTCTTATATGATACGGTGGCTGATTCAGATGGCCAATGCTCTAGTCATGAAATGATGAAAATTTTGTATTTAAGCATTAACTGCATGTTGAACATGTCACAGTATAAGAAGCGAGGCCTTTAATGAATCAAATTCATGCCCTTTTTCAGGCCAAACTTTTTGTTTTGAAAATCTTGAAATATTGTGCATCACTTCTTGGACTTGATAGAAAATGAATTATAGAATCCTAAATTTTTGTTGTAAATAATAAAGATGATAAATATTACATTTGTTAACATTGCATTATCTTTTGGAACAGGCAGTGGGTGAAAAAATTCAGTCCTTAAATTACGGAGACTATACGACAGAAATAAAAACAGAAGATTCCGTGCATACTCAAAAGGAGGTTAAGGATGGTGCTTGTATGGATGTTGTTTGTAGGACGGAAAAGTCTCAGGAGACTAAAAAGGCTAAGTTTGAATCAGTTCCTCCAAAGGTGGATGAGTTTGGGAGATTGGTCAGAGAAGGTTCCAGTGATAGTGACTCTGACGATTCACTCTATAATAAAAGGTATAATAAAAGAGGTAGAAGTCGAATACATAGCCGTAGCCGTAGCCGCAGTCGGTCTCCTCTTGATAGCAGGAGGGGAAGTTCATGGAGGAGAAGAGAGAAGCGAAGCCGTTCTCGGAGGTACTTCCAACTGTGCTGTATCTGCATTGTTCTGTTTGGTGGGCTGTTTAATGTTGACTTGAGTTTAGGTCTGAGGCATCTAAATTGCGGGGTCTTTGTTTGTCTTTTATTATGATTTCATAGAGTACAGTATCTGAGGAGAATAATAAATATTCCTCTTGATTGTTTGTGTTCCCAGTCGGTCTTCTAGGAATCAAAGAAGCAGGAGTAGGAGCAGGTCCCCCGCATTTAGGCGTGCAAATGAGTTCAGAGATGGCAGTAAGAGACAGGACCGGCGCCACATTCCAGAATGTTTTGACTTCCTTCGAGGCAGATGCTACCGAGGAGCACACTGTCGGTATATGCACCGGGAATATGACAAGAATGATGGTTCAAGGCAACATAGGAGCAAACCAACACTTTTCGAGTCTCAGCCTAGTTTCAAAACTTTTGGGATTAAGGAAAAGGTTGATGAAATTAAAGCTCGGGAGATGCAACTCTGTGAAGATGCACCTATTGCTAGAAAAGATGGTCAGTTGATTGATGCTGAGAAAATGAATTGTGAGAGTTCTAGAGTCACAGATATTGCAGTGCAAGTAAAACAAATAGTTCCTGAAAACCTTAGGGAAACCACCACTCACATTCCTGACAGAAAAGAATTTCACGAAGTGCAAAAATCTCACCACCCACCCCCTCAGCTAATAAGCAGTGCTGGTAATATGAAGTCATCTGATGGTACTTCTGAGGATGTGCTTCCTCTTATGAACAAGTCCGTAGTCGAGCAACCTCAAAAGGCTGATTGTCCATCTGTTCAGATGGAAAACTCTTTCATAACAGATCTGTCACCGGTTCAAGCATCCACGACTTCTCCAAATATGGTTTCTAGTAGTGAGCCTTTACCAAATGCAATCGCCTCGACTAATGTGTGGCCCATCAAAAGTTCTAATGACCAACCACTTTCATCACAATTCATGGCTCCTAATTCTAAAGAGTTACCTCTTCCCAGCATCTCTGCTGTAAATGTTCCATATCTTTCAGAGCTGCCCCTTCCTCCACCTCCTCCTCAACCTTCACAAGGTGCCAGTGCAGTTCATGCTCCACAGATGCATAGGGATTACAATTTGATGCCACTCTGTCCACCGCAGTCTATATCTTATCAAGGTTCCTTACCCAACCAACATGCTCAGTTCTCTCTACCACCAAATTCCCCTTGGACATCCTTACCCCCACCACCTCCACGACCACTGTATGATTCATCTTTAAATGCAGGAACTACCGCACTAGGTGGTTCTTCACAGTTTCAGCCGAACCATTTGGTTCCAAGGAATGACTTTGGTTCTCAGCCTTCTATCAGGCCATACTCAACTGTATTGCCTTCTCATTCTCAGGCTGATGATTTTCTGCATCGTATGTACCCTCCAATGCAGGAATTTCCTCGCCCTGTGTTGCATAGAGCAGATTTCAGATCAGGCAACTCATCAAGTCAACCATTTGGAGGCCCTGGTCATATGAGAGAAGACCACTTTACACATGCTCCTGTGCAGGATTTAAGTTCTTCACACACTTTTGCTCATGGCAACACGCACCCACAACCTGGTCCTCCTTCACAGGAATTGACTATGAACAAATTGCAAAATTTCTCTGGTGACAATTTTCCTTCTGGCGAGCTTTTAAATTCATCCTCACAGATTCATCCCTGTTCACAGAACCAACAGCCAACCTATAGCACACAATACCCTGTTGGTGATGGCATCTTGGGTGTGCCTGGGAAGACTGGTGCGCAATACCCTGTAGGTGATAGCATTTTGGGTTTTCCTGGGAAGGATGGTCCTATGTCCCAATACCCTACCGATCTTGTGGACAGAAATCAATCATCTCGCCTTCCTGATTTTGGGGCATCTAGAATACCTACACATCATAATCCTTACGCATCTACTTTTGAGCAGCCACTATCCTCCAAATTCAGTTCTAACATTCACAATCAAGACAACGGTGCTCCCTCTGGTAACATGTTTGATACTCCCGGCAATTTGAGCCAAGTTCTTGTGGATGGGCAAGGTGTTGGCAGTGTTGGATCAAGACAGACTACTTCATCGCCGAGTTCTGCTAGAGCTGCTGGTCAGCTATTGCCCAAGTCAGAAGCTGAGCAGTATGATCCACTTTGGGACAGCATTGAGCCATCATCAGCTTTGCTCAAGAAACATGGTCATGGTCAAAAACAGGAATCTGCCGGTGATTCCAATATCATTGTGAGGCTCAGTGAGAACAAGCATAAAGAGGTTGAAACTGTTGCATCAGCTACATCTCTGGATATTGATGAGTTTGGTGAGACAGCGGATGCAGAAGTGGGTGTTGTTGAGGACGAGAGTCTGAGTGATCGTGGTGGTGCAGCAAACATGGCTGGTGAGATTGAGATTGATCAGGTTGAGTCTCCAGGGAAGAGCAAGAAGAAAAAGGATTCAAGATCAACGAGACTTTTCAAGATTGCTATTGCAAATTTTGTAAAGGAAATTCTGAAGCCATCGTGGCGGCAGGGTAATATGAGCAAGGAAGCGTTTAAGACCATTGTCAAAAAGACTGTTGATAAGGTCTCTGGAGCCATGAAGAAGCACCAGATACCCAAGTCAGAGGCAAAGATAAATCACTACATTGACTCGTCACAGCGGAAACTGACAAAACTGGTGATGGTAAATACTTTTTCCAATTCCTTTCTGCTTTGAATGACATGGTGGTGTTAGTTGATTGGGATTTTGACACAAGGCACAGTGGCACACCCTCTTAAACTTCTGCATAAATAAATTTTTTGTTCTCCGCGTGAAAAGAGGATGAAACTCATAGTTTAAGGCCTGATGCTTTCGGTCTTAGTGCGAGAACATGTTGCGTAGTTTGATCTTCACTGTTTTCTCTATATGATCTGCAGGGTTATGTTGACAAGTATGTGAATGTGTAGACGTCAGCTGTGTTGAAGCAACCAACCTGCACGCAACGGCACAATTTCTTGAGGGTGTCATCTCGGACCAAAAGAGAACTGGATCTCTCAGTGAAGATTAAAGTAGAGCCTTAGACCTTTTGCAGTAAGTCACAACTATATAAACAGTGATCATTGTATACTATATATATAGTGTGAATTCTAAGAAGGTTGATTGAATGGTTCGGTGAAATGGGGTTATAATTATAAGTTAACCATGCTGGGAAAATTAATAGTCAACTATGTAAATAAGACAATCAATGCGGGCTGACTCAGTGGTTAGGGATAAATACTTGGCCTATATTGCACATGGCACATCCTGGTTTCAGTTCCTAGCGCTTGAGAATCACACGGTTGTAGTCAAGAGAGGTTGAAATGCCTCTTTGAATCTTTCTGATCACCATAAGGTGGATTGTCTTGGCGAAGTCATCAGCTAGTCCCTTTTGAAGAAAAACCATGTAAATAAGACATGATAGATGGTGACGGAGAAGATTGGTGGCAATGATCATGATGAGCGGCGAACGGGATAATTAGGGAATTAACATATATATCTATGTTGCAGTTGACCATATTAACCGAAAATTCATTCAGATTTCTACCTAATTACGAGATTTTTTATGCAAGAGACTTGTAATGCAGTAGATTAAGAACTATGAACTTGAGGTCGGAGTTTGCATAAAGTTGCCCAACTTTGGCAGTTACTTAGAACTGTTAAATTTAATCAATAATAATCCGCATAAGCTTTAGCCTTTACCTAGTAATCAAGGAGACCTGAAATGGTTGAAATTATTTGTCGTGCAAATATCCGATCGGGCGCCGGTGCATGGCACGTCCTTGATCCAGTCAGGGACATTCTGCTAGATTCCGGCTCACCCTCGTCAAAATTTGCTTAACTAGAAAAACCCGTTTCTGCCAAATTGCTGGAAGCTCAATTGCCTTCGATGTCAATTGCAGTTCCGTCTCTTAAAACTTCGGCAGCATACAAAACAAGTTAGAAACAACTGAAGACTACATAGGAAGGAGAGATGAGAAGCGAGATTCACGTAGATCATTTGGAGTCCAGGCCGACCTATAATGTAAGGTTAAGGGCGTTGAACTCGAAATACCAGCCTTATTGCATTCAGTCTCCGAATGAAACTCTCATGAGAAAAGCATTTGACTTTGGGATTAATGTTGAGAACTAGAGATAAGTTTGGTTGTATGAATGAAACTCTCCTCGGAGTACACTTACACTGACAATGATAAACAGTGAGATCAGAGAAACTTACTCATATTCGTTCTAAATCCGAAACCTAGGTCTTCATGCGGTTGCAGTTGGGGAAAGACAATCACAATGACAGACAAGAATTGCAAAATTATCGCAAGTAGAGATCTTAGAAGTTATAAAAACGAGCGATAATGTCATCCAATCACCCAACTGCGGTTGCATTTAGATTTTATACAAATACATTACTGCACAAACTAAAGGATAAAAAAAAGTTGTGTCAAGTACCCTTTATTCACGTCGAACACAGCATTTCATTAAGTGAGCAGACTAGACAAGCATCTATGCTAACATGAACAGCATCTCTTTAGTTCGACGAGAGGAACAAAATAACACACATATTTTTCCAGAATCCCATAAGCCTGCAAGAAGCTAAAACAAGCTGAGAATCACTGATACAATTAAACACGAAAGCAACAAGCAAGCAACGCCAAATAAGTACATAACCTGAGAAATCAAAGCATATAAAATACACAAACACAACGACAGGAACCAAGGAGAGAAACAGGGAAAAGAAAAACTAAAAATTAAAAATTAGGAAGGAGCACGTGGATAGTCGTTATCTCTATGTATCTTCAACGGGCCAATCATTTATGAAAAGAAATTACCACATTCAAGATGCAGCCAACAAGCTCAGAGGAAATTGAGAACCATCACCAGAAGCATAGATTGTGCCAGACTTTGACTGATGCATCCCCAACAAACAAATTGAACCTTCAACAAGATTGGAGTCATTGGACCACATATTACTTGTCTAATATCTGTATAAAGGTTGGCCATGTGCATTATGTTCTATGAAAAATTGACGTTAGACGAGATGAGAAAGTTCAGGGAAGCTAAAAGTGAGCTCTCATGGTGGCTTGTTCTCTACCTACAAGGTTATCAGCATTAAGACCTAAATTCAGGGGGCAAATGACTCACAGAAATGAACATAAGGTTTTTGTACTAGGTGAAGAATCTATGTTTTTTCAATTAACTTTCACAAAATAGACAGATAAATATAACAGTAAACTGTGTCAAAAACAAAACAAAAGTCCCACATTCTCAATCCTCGAATCAGATACAGACTATGCCTCAAGGTTTAAGGTGTAAACTGCTGCGTTTGCGGTACATTTACTACTCATACTTGTATTCAACTAAAGACTCATTGAATCGAATATTTTCATGGTTTCCTGAGGCTATAAAAGACGTGGATGGAGCACCTACAGAGGTCCGTTGAAGCAAAAAATGCATCCTGCTTCAGCATCAGAGAAACTGAATTTGCAATAATCCAAAGTTACAGCTAAAACGCTGCTGAAACCAGCAATTCCTAATCAATCAAGCCTCAGAAAGCATAAGATTTATCAACTAAGAACAAAATTACTACCCTAACTTGACCATTCACGTATGCTCCTACCATAAAGCAGACACAAACACAAACTCAACAAACTCAAAACAACAGAAACCACCTTCATCACGAAAAACCCGAAGCACAAAAACCTTTTTCATTTCTGTCGAGCTATTAACCAAACTAAAGGGATCAACTTCCTGCTCAACTATATTCCAAAACACAATAAAGACTCCTCCTTTTGCATATATATATCACTCCATTAGTAAACTTTCACAAATATAATTAACCACAAAACACAAAATTCCACTTAATTTGCAGAATGCCCAAAATAAAAACCCTAAATTAAATTAATTAAAGCCTTAAACTATCAAATTAAGGAAAAATTGGATGAGGGAAACGAACCCACTTCATTTCTGGTAGCCTCCACCTCGAGCATTGTAATCCTCTTCAACGGCATCGGCCAAGTAAACAGGTGGGAATTCCGAGACGTCGAATGTCGTCCTCTCCTTCATCATCTTCTCCACATCCGCCTTCTTCAAAACGGTGCGTCTAATCGGTGGCCGGTTGCGCCTCTGGTCGCGGGTATAGTACTTGATGTCGTACACGGTTTCCGGGTTGGAGGTGGGCACGCAGGCCTGGACCTTGGTCGTGGCTGGGCACTCGACCCGGTACTCGAGCGCGCCGGGCACGGCTAATTTGTACTCCGGGTCGGCACACGGGCCGGTTATTTCCCACGGTTTCTTGAGGTAACGCTTTAGGGTTTGGGCGAGGGATGACACGGCGGTGGAGACCGATTTCGCCATTGGAGAAGTTTTGAGATGCAGATCAGGTGAGAAACTCAGGCGAACCAATAAAACTAAAATATATTAATAAAATTAAAATTTATTAATAAACTCACTCCCATTTAATCAATTTTTCTCGTACGTTCTATTATTGTTAGAACCCTAAAACGCTTTCATAGAAAGAAAAAAACACCAATGATGATTTTGAATTTTAAATCCCCTAACTAAAGCATGACTCCATTTATTCGAGTAATTGTGAAGAAAAGCAAGTCTTTTGGTGTTGGCATTGTCATTCTGCCCAAAACGATAAATTAAATATCATTAATTTTTATTAATTTCAATTTTAATTTCAAGTAATCGTGAAGAAAATGCGAGGTACATATTGGAAGGAGAGCAAGAACATATGCTTTGATTTTATGTTTTTATTTTTTAAAGATAAATTTACATATTGAATTGGATTTGTAAACGTAGCTTAGGTAGTAAATTTGGTTTAAAGAGATAGTAATAATTTAATTACTAAATTATGAGTGTATAATGAGCTTATATGAGTTCAAATTAAGTTTTTTAGAATACTCTTTATGTATTCGTCCTGAAGTTAGTATTTCATCACAGTGATGGAAAACAAACATATATGCACAGTAGTGCGAGTTCAATCTCTATCAACTCCCCTTCTTCCTAAGAATCAACTTCTAACCTATTAACGCCATCCCTCTACTAAATAAAATACAAAACCAGGCAAAAAGAAAATAGAAGGGGCTCAAGACTGTACTTTGCACCTACCCAAATCATGGACTTTTCCTCACAAATTTGTGATTATTCTACTATCTCTAAATCTTTAGGGTAGTATTATTCTCACACATCTTTTTACCTTTCATATCCTTTTCTTAATTTTTGATCGTGAGTTCGGATGAATTGAAGAAGTATAACAGCTAAAATTAACAGAGAATGTGAAAAGTAAAAAACGTGTGTGGGTAGTGGGTACTGGATAGCACCACCCAATTCAGTTACCTAAACTACAAAGTTGAACGTTGACCAAAACAAAAGCAGAGTAAAGTTAGTAAACCCATCTCATCATTTCCTTCCCAAATTAAAAGATCCAAAAATCCCTTTTTATTATTTTTTATTCCAAAATTAAACAATTTTCCTTATTTGGGTTTCCCAGAAGGAACCTCCTTCTCATGTGATCTGACCAAATATATAAAAAGCTTCAGCCTTTAGCAACTTTCCCCTCTTTCTTCTCTCTTTTTTGCCCTCCTATCCTCTTGTACTGTTCTCTCTCTCTCTCTCTCTCTCTCTCTCTCTGCAACTTCACTCTGCTTCCTCTCAGCCCATAGATCTCTCTCTCTCTCAAGCTTTCTCTCTCTAAAGCTCAGATCACTACCAAGCAGGTACTCCAGGGTCCTCTCTTGAATCCAACTTTCTTTATGTTTACAGTTTACTGCCTCTGCTGGTTAATTTCCCATTTGATTTTATTATTTGCCAATAGTGATTGATCTGTTAATGTCATATTTCCCAAACAAATCTCTTCATTGCTTTGGATGTTGGTGCTGATAAATTTCTGTGCTTTTCCGTACTTTGCTAAATTAGGGTTTATGAATTTTAGTCAGATATTGTTTTGTTTATCATTATAGTTGTTAAGTTCTGGGCTACTTCAGTTTTTCAGTTGACCCCCTTTTTCTCTTAGGTCAAATTCACATGGTCTGCTTCATTTGGGTTTTATTGGGATTTCTATAACATGAATAAATACTTCTGGGTTTTTGAAATTGTTTATAATTGTTAGCGAATTTCCACGATTTGAGCATGTATGCAGGGATTGGTTCCTAATGTGTGATTTGTGGTATTGTGATATTACACTTATGATTAAGTACTCGTTACTTGAAACCGTTTTAGCTCGTAATTATTGGGCTATTAGGGTTTTGTTTTGCAGTTATTAATTAAGTTGCTAGTTTTCTGATTATCGTCACAAATAAGATATTCACAATGCATCATTGCATATGCTTCTGTACTCTTTATCAAATCTTTCTAGATTTTGTGGTGCTTAAAGTTTGATTTTATTTGTCTTATTTGTTCAACTTATTGAGTTTTTTATTGGTTGGTTATGATTCTAATGTGTGGTTTGTGATATTACACTAATGATTGACTTGCTGAAACCGTTTAGCTCATAGTACTTTAACATATGAGCTCAAAGACAATGCCTTTGTGCTTTTAGCTTCAACTTAAAGTGCCCGTATGTGCTTATCGGGTTATTAGAATTTCTCATTGTCGTTTTTACTTTTCTACTTTGCTGATTCTCTTGCTACAGATATGATATTCACAATGTATCACTTGTTATGCTTCTATATTCATTGTTGTGTTTTTTGAATGTAAAGATTTTCTAATTGCTTGAAATGGGTTGTACTTTCCGCTGTAAAAATTTTGAAGGTTGTTTTTCTTTCATGCATTTGTTAGGTCAAGAATAAAAAAGCATGTTGCTTTGGCTTTCTTGTCATTATCATGTTTTTCTTTTATCATCGTAGTAGTTCCATCAATATGTTTCTTACTAATATTACAGATTTTAAACTTTCTGTAGATAGACATGCAGGAAGTGACTCCTGCCCCTGCTCCCAGTGCCCAACTTGTTGGCAATGCCTTTGTGGAGCAGTATTACCATATTCTTCACCAATCTCCAGAGTTAGTGCATAGGTTTTATCAGGATTCGAGCTCTCTGAGCAGGACGGATATCAACGGCAATATGACAACAGTGACAACGATGGAAGTAAGTATTCTTTCATATATATTCATGACACAGTTTCTACTTCAAGGCTCACGGTTCAGTTTTCACAAAGATTAACATGAATTGGGCAACCGTTTTTCTTTATGTTTCCGATTCAGTTTTTCACTTAAGGTATTAAAGAATGTTTAATTGGTAGCTAGCATGTACAAAAGTATATATTTTAATAATTTTATAATGGTTGAACATGAATTTGGCAGCTTTTCCATCATACATTGTTGTATTAAACTTTTCTTTATGTGCATGTTGGACAAATACACAGACAGGATGTCTATTTGATGTTAAGGCTCCAAATTTAGACATTTATTGACCAATTGTAACCAGCCTAAATGGTGACATTATATATATATATATATATATGTATGTATATATATATATGTATGCATGTATGTATAGGGTGGTTGATTAACATGGCCAGTGTTCTAGTCATGAAAGATTGAAAATTTTGGTATATAGGCATTGATTGCATGTTGAACATGTGACAGTATAAGCAGCGAGGCCTTTAATGAATCAAATTCACGCCCTTTTTCAGGCCAAACATTTTGTTTTGAAATCTTAAAATATTGTGCATCGCATCTTGGATGTGATGTAAACTGAATTGCGAATCCTAAATTTTTGTCGTGAATAATAAATGTCAATGATAAATATTACATTTGTTAACATTGCATTATCTTTTGGAACAGGCAATAGGTGAAAAAATTCAGTCCTTAAATTATGGAGACTATACAGCAGAAATAAAAACAGCAGATTCTCAGGAGTCTTATGAGAAAGGGGTGATTGTTCTCGTGACTGGATGCTTGACTGGAAGGGACAATGTGGGAAGAAAATTCGCACAGACTTTCTTTCTAGCTCCACAGGAGAAGGGGTACTATGTATTGAATGATGTTTTTAGGTATATTGAGGACAACGAATCATTGCCGACCAATACTACCTCAGTCAATGGCATCAACGAAAGTGCTCCAGAAGCTATTGTGACAGCAGAACCACGTTGGCATTAGTTTTCTTTCTCGATATATCTTTTTTTTTTTGTTTGTTTTGGCTATCGTTTTCAAATTGCTTTTATACCTTTCCAGAGCCTATTCATGCACCTGATCATCTTGTGGTGGACCCTGCAACTCCCTTGAGGACGAAGATCTCAATAATGGTGCTGAAGTTTGTGATCCTTCAGATAATGACGAAGGATCAGTTGTTGAAGACGAGCTTGTGGAGCCCCCAGCTCTCCCAAGTCAGAATCTTGCAGAAGTTGATCCAACCCCTGATCCTGCCCCTGAAACTCAGGAGGATGCTCCAAAGAAATCATATGCATCAATTGTGTGTTAAGGCCCATTGTTGACTTTTTTAAGAGGGTATTTTTAATTTTCATGTCAACTGATTTTGGTGTGTTTTTACTTTTTAGTTATTGAAGAAAAGCACAGTCAGTCCTGCCCACTGTGGTTCCCCGCACTGTGAGGACAGTATCTGCAAACACTAACCACCATCCCGCCAGTCCTCCTGCAAAATCATTTCCTGCACCAGAGGCATCACCTCCTACAGGTGATGCTGCCCCTGAAAGCAGCCATTCTCACGAGGAAGGTAAATAATACTCAGCTTTCTGTCTTCGTTTACTCTCAAAAAACAAAAAAAGTACTCGGCTTTCAATGGTTGGGTCACTTAACTAACTACCATAACACTTGGCTGAGTTTTACTCTCATTTACGCTTTCATGAATGATGCATGATCTGTTAGCTATTTATTGTCATGCAAACAGCAACATCGACCTTATTCGTGCAATGGGTTATTATCTAATTTACAATTTATTCTTTGCAGCACCTGAAGGTCACTCCATACATGTACGGAATTTGCCATATGATGCAACAGTGGGACAACTTGAGAAGGAGTTCAAGAGGTTTGGACCTATTAAGCGTGATGGGATCCAAGTCAGGAGTAGTAAGGTATTCTTCATTTGTATAATTCACTTACTGATCCAACTGATCATTCTTTGGTGTAGCCTTACAGTTCCTATATTTTGGCTTTCTAGCAGCAAGGATTCTGTTTTGGCTTCGTTGAATTCGAAAGCTTGAGTTCCATGCAAAGTGCACTTGAGGTACTGTGCTTCACTTTCATATGCCACTTGTCAAATTCCAAGATTCTTTAGGCCTGGTTTTTTTAATACAATTAGTGTTACAATTTGGCTCGTTTAGTTCAAAACTAGTGTATGAAAATTGCAGAAATATTTTGAGTCATTTATATTGGCTCGAGAACATTTTGTTTGTATTATTGGCTAGTAGCCACAAGGCCCAAATGTAATTTGCTCATTGGCATTAACATGGACACTTATTTTGAGTTGAAAAAGGAGATACTGTCCCTGATGCATATCTACGGGTGTCCCCAGAATCTTAGATCTGTTGTTTGAGTAATAGAAAATTAAAATCTCCAGTGTGTTTCGTGTTACAACCTCACTGGGATATAAGTGCAGTTTGACTGGATTTTCAGACTGTAATGTGTTTATTCATAGTTGTGGGTGCCATCATATGTTTCCGCAGCTTGTATCAACGTATATTTATCCAATTTTGAACTTGTTGAAAATCGTTACAGGCCTCACCTATCACCATTGGGGATCGCCCAGCAGTGATTGAGGAAAAGAGAACCTCAACTCGAGGTAAGCTGTGGTTTATAGAAGGTTGCTAGGTAAAACACAACTCCTATTTAAATGATGTTAAGCTAACAAAGCTTTGTTTCAGTCAGCGGTGGTGGGAGAGGGAGGTTCTCTTCAGGAAGAGCTGGCTATCGGAATGACAATTTCAGGGGTCGTGGGAACTATGGTGGTGGTGGCCGTAGCTTTGGCAGGAATGAATTCAGAAACCAAGGTGAGTTTTCTGGGCGAGCCAGGGGCTCGGGAGGACGCAGTGGAGATGGTTATCAGCGGGGAAGTTCCAATGGAAGAGGTGGGCGTCAAGGTGGGGGAAACCGCAGTTCTGTTCCCCCTACTTGACGCTTTTTGAGAGAAAGTGGTGGATAGACAATTTTTTTCACACAACCAAGAGGGTCACTTTTTCTTTCCCCTTCTTTCCTTCAATTGCTACTTGTTGGATAAAGAGTTATATGGAGCTGTTAGAAATTTAGGGTTTTTGTTAAATTCCGAGTTTCTACAAAGATTCGTGTTCTTCCCTGTTTTTCGCTAACATGTATTTTATCTTTAGATTATTTTTATAGAGCTTACACGGCGTGAGTAAGTTGTGTTAGTTCAACTTAAATGTATTTCTACGAATCCAAATCTATATTTATGTTATTTTGATCATGAAATTTCTTCATCTCCGTTGTCTAATCCATGCTTGTCGACATGGTAGTATGTTATAGATATCTCTAAGCATTCACAATTACACAAAAGAGCCAAAATAATGTACTCATCCCGAGTGAGGAGACGAACTTTTATGCAACAGGAATGTCACTGTGTCGATATGCCAAACCAAGATCAGGCTTAGGATATCGTGGAGTCCACTGTGGCATCTCGATGTAAGTTTTGTCTCTCCCGAGATGGACCAAACTCATTGAAATTTCAATTAGATTTCTGCAAACTGGATACAAGATTTGATGCAGCAAAAGCAGCGGAACCACCCGCTATTGCAGCCAAAGCAACAACAGCTTGTAGCCCTATCTCCAAAGGAGAATCCTCAGGCACAAGATAAACAACAAATGGACCCAAAACCAGCAGTCCTAAGCTTAAACTCAACAATGCCCCGGGAGTTCCCGGGTCGGTGGCTGCAGATAGGATTCCGAATTCCTCCGCCTTGGAGAGCAACCCTAGCTTCTCTATCACGGACAATGAGAGCCCGGACTTCTCTGCCGTGGACAGCAGGCCGGCTTTCTCTGCTTTGGTCAGCAGCTTCAGTTGCTCCACCCTTGTTAGCAGCTTCACAGATGAATTCTGCAATGCAAAGTACACCCCATTTGCATTTTGTACTTATTTGACAAATACCCAAATAAAATACGATATATAATGAACAATTTCACTTCTAATTCCATCGAGACCTTTTGTAATAAAACTTGTCATACATATTTTGAATGAGAGGAAGATTATTAACCTTCTTGGAGCTGACTGTGTTGGTAGCTGAAGGAATGGGTTTCGTGGTAGCCATAGATTGGATGAGGAGAGGGGAGGAGGAAGCAAAGTTGCCTCCTTTTGCTGCTGCTGGTGCTCTGAAAGCGAAAGGCACACCGCCGGCGCTGCCGCTGTAAAATGCTCTGGCCTCCATTTTTCTGTGTGGTGGTGGTGGTGGCGGCTTTCAGTGGTGTTTCTTTATCAGAGAGATGATTGAATCCTTGAGGAAGGCTATGATTTGGGCTTAAATTAGTGGACAAGGAAGATCACGTTCCATTGCAAACGTGTCACCACGTGGATCGCTGGATGGGAGAGGGAGATTGGTGTCCCTAGATTTTTTTCTTTTTCTTTTGGTAGTCAACTAGGCTTTTTCTTTCTAAATATTTGTTTTTAAATTGAATTTGGTTTTTTTGTGGTGAACAAAAAAGTTTAGGGTGTGATTATTCTCATCATTAGCGCCATGGCATACTCTAATTTTTAGCCAAAAGAACTTACGCGTGATACTTAATTGTCAGCTATTAATAGTATGGATTTACGTAAGAATATATAGATCGCGCACGAACGAGAACTGCTGACAACAATAATCGAACTTTGATGGGGCGACACACAAGGTGGGGACCTCACCAACTAAGCGAACCCTCATTGGCATTGAATTTAGTTTTTATAATTGTTGTCATCAGCAGATTTTCACGCTCATGTTTAGAATCTCTCATACAGTTGTTTATTTTTTGCAACTAAATTGAATAAATAAAACCAAAACGGTAGACAAGATTAAACAAATTTGTGTAAGAGGAGAAAAATATGAGTGTTAATCATTTCCCTGGTTATATTACAAAATGTTAAGTTTTACGTTTGACACATCATCACTTGACAGATTTAACGACAACCTAATATCGAACTTCGAATTTCCATTTCATGGTAGTAAATGTTAAACTCAAAACATAGATATTAACAAATCTGATGAGTTAAAGTTAAGGTGCTAAATTAATATGGACCATATATTTTTGGAGCTTATTTTGGTACTCCAAAGTTCTCATTGTGCACTTTAACTTTCTACATCTAGAAAAAAAAAAAAAAATTTGTGAAGAATGCACAATAAAACTTTTGAAGTGCCAATAGTAGTTCTCTATATTATTTTTTTTTTTACATATGATATTATATTCTTAACCACTCTAATTAACAAAAATCAGAAAAACTTACCAGCATGTAAAGCGACGAAAATTGACCAACCAACTAGAAGCCTAATCACATGCGCAAAATTCACCATATCTTGTATCAAACAATTTCTCCTCCATGTGCAAGAAAAATTTATTCTTAATCACTCTACTTAACAAAAATCAAGAAAACTTACTTGGGTGTAAAGCGACGGAAATTGACCTCGAACCAACTAGAAGCCTAATTACATGTTCAAAATTGACCATATATCTTGCATCAAACAATACTTCTCCACGTACAAGGAAATTTTCGCTGATGCTAACACAATCTCTAATACAGGTGAATTCTACGTCTAACGCTAGTTGCTATACCTAATAAAGGGTTTTCAAATTTGTATGTCTAAACAATTTTCTTTCATTTTTTTACCCTTTCGATTTTGCATTGAGTGACCAAGTAAGTGAGGTTGTTTCGGTAATTTAATTGCCTTCTCCCTTTTACAAACCCCAAAACCTAAACCCTAACGCAAATACTCTCCTCCCTCTCCTTCTCCTTCTCCACGCATCAATGGCGGACTTCAACGTCTCCCTCGAAAAGGCGAAATTTTTCTTGCAGTCGCAGTATCACGACGAGGAGAAGTGGGCTCTTAACATGGTACTCTCTCAATTACTCTCCTACTTTTCGATTTTGCACGAAGCGTGAAGAGTTGTTTCTTGAATCTCTTGATTCCAAGATACATATAGATATATAATTATATATGTTTATATGATTTTTTTGTATGTTTTGGCTAATAGTATGTGGGAAGATTTTGTATTATTTGGTGCATATATAGCTATACTATGACTTGCGATCGCGATTCGTGATGTTTTCGGAATGTCTGTTTTCGCGATGAATCTTGTGTAATGGTTGCGGGATGTGAGTGGCCGGGCAACCGGTTGTATTGCTTGATTGTCTGGCCACTCGTATCCTGCAGCTATCCCGCAAGATTTATTCCGCATTGGTGAAAACCTAGCCTGTTATGTGCATCTTGTTGTGAGATTAGTAATGGGAAAGCTAATTTTTCGAGTTACGAGTGCAAGCGTTACTCATGGTTCATATGTGTCCGGTAAATCAGACTTTTGTGTGTTTTGATTTGATACAATCACAAAATGACTAATCAGTTCTGTATGTTTGTGTGTCGTTCTTTTTGTTGTTTCTTAAGCTTAATATGTTAACTCAGGAACTTAGAAGTGGCGGAAAGTGTGGCTTCTAGGTTTGGTCAGGAAAGATGAGAAATTTAGGTGACGCGTGAAATTTAGTTATTAACATTACGGTCTACAGATGGGATAAATTTTCCTAACCGAGAATTTATGATGGCTATTGCACCTTTAACAATGGGTATGCTCTTAGGTCACGCGTGTTTCGTTATAGTTTGATCTTCGTATTGTCGAAATTTGACCTGAGGCCTCATAAAGTTTTTCCTCAGAAGAGTTGTTCTTCTTTAGAAAGTTTTAGATTTTGATGATGAATGTGATTTGCAAAGTTGCCTTATATTTTTAGCCCTTGTTATACAACAACAACAACAACAACCAAGCCTTATCCCACTAAGTAGGGTCGACTGTATGAATTCTAGAACACCACTGCACTCCAGGTTATATTGTTGTTAGACAATTCTTACCATTCTTTCTGAACCGTGAGCTTTACTTGCTTAGCCTAGATGCCGGATGGTTATCTCATTTGTAGAATGCTATTTACATCCTTTTTGTTGAGAAACCAATAAAAACAAAGGACTTAAAAGTGTGTTTCCATCTTGCAGAAATTGCTGCGTGCTGCAGGGCTGTTTGCAGGATCGATTCTTCTAATGAGGAGTTATGGTGATCTGATGGCTATATGAGCTCTTCCAATGTGTCGGAGGTCATCTTATTGAGCAAATTCTGCAAGGTTCCTTTTGTTCGTTATGCGGATTTATTTAGCATTCTGTTAAGTTACAGGGTTTTCCTGTTTACCTTGATCATGTTGATGTTAGTAACAGAAATGAGTTTCCAAAATAGGAATGTGGTTCTATTGGAGAGTTTTCGAGATGAATGAAATTGCTTAGCTTTCATATACTGAATGGCGAATCATCGATTGCTTATTCATTTGATTTTTCATGCATCCTTTTCGCCATCTCCATTAGATGGTGAAGAGAATTCTTTTTTATACAAGCGATACTGGTGGACGGGATCGATGTTATGAGAGAGCTTCGGCCCATGCGGGCAATTGGGCTAGGGGCGGGCCTGTAGGAGAGGGGAGGCATGAATCCACGGCCCAAGCGCCTAAAGGAGCGTTGATGCAAGGCTGACGTCAGCCACGTTATAAAAAAAAATTGTGTCAGGCGTGTGTATAACACTCGCGCGTGGGGGCGTGTCACCAATAGCTTTTCAAATGGTAGGGCCCGCGGTTTGAATTCTGAAACGTTATCGATGTGGGTGCCACATGGCACCCTCAAGGTTGTTGGATTTCAACAGATACTTTTTCTGGACGGTTGGATTTTCAACGGTAAAAAAAAATTCAAACCTCTCCCCACGACTAGATGGCGTGGCACAATTTCAACCACTTGATTCCAAATTTTCTTTAATCCAACAGCAGGAATTAATTAAGTTAATAAAAAATTAAAAAAAAGTTAAAAATTAATTTAAAAAATCCAATTTTTTATTTTGAAAAAATTGATTTTATATTTCTATAAATACCTTATCATTATCGAAATCTATCACAAAAAATTGTACTTTCGGATAATGACACGTGAAGAAACGAGATCGGTTAAAAATCTTATCCAAAATTACAAATAAAATTATTTTTTACTATTTTATAAAATAAAAAATACTAATATTTAACAACCTATTGCCAAGGCTATTCAACTTAGGAGTGAAAATGCAAAAGACAATTATTATTCAATGTAAGGGATTCAATAGGCTATTGCCTTGGGGGGCCTTCCAACCTTAGAAGTGCTCTTAGGGGTTTGAGTGGGCCAAGCGCCATTGCAAGTGAATTGGGAAGGTGAAGAACATAATAAATAAGGCCCATTGGATCATTATTTCACTATAAGAGAATGATTATGGGTCTATTTACAAGTATAAAGAATAGGTAATGTCGTCTTTATTCTCACAAGTGAACTGTCAAGATTTAACTAAATAAGATTTGGGGTAACGTGCACAATGGTTTGCAATAATTTATGTATTGAAATTAATACATGTCGTTATTCAAGTGAGTCGAATTTGCAGTATATCTACTTTAATGGGAGGTGTCACATCCCCGCCCGGGGCAGATCATTTCTCGGACCCGCTCCACCACCGTAGCACGATATTGTCCGCTTTGGGCTTACCATTCCCTCACGGTTTTGTTTTTGGGAACTCACGAGCAACTTCCCAGTGGGTCACCCATCTTGGGATTGCTTTAGCCCCCTTCTCGCTTAACTTCAGAGTTCCTACGGAACCCGAAGCCAGTGAGCTCCCAAAAGGCCTCGTGCTAGGTAGAGATGAGAATATACATATATGGATCACTCCCCTGGGCGATGTGGGATGTCACAATCCACCCCCCTTAGGGGCCCGACGTCCTCGTCGGCACACTCGCGACCAGGGTTAGGCTCTGATACCAAATTGTCACATCCCGACCCGGGGCGAATCACTTCCCGGGCCCGCTCCACCACCGTAGCACGATATTGTCCGCTTTGGGCTTACCATTCCCTCACGGTTTTGTTTTTAGGAACTCACGAGCAACTTCTCAGTGGGTCACCCATCATGGGATTGCTCTAGCCCCATTCTCGCTTAACTTCGGAGTTCCTACGGAACCCGAAGCCAGTGAGCTCCCAAAAGGCCTCGTGCTAGGTAGGGTTGGGAATATACATATAAGGATCACTCATCTGGCCGATGTGGGATGTCACAATCCACCCCCCTTAGGGGCCCGACGTCCTCGTCGGCACACACGCGGCCAGGGTTAGGCTCTGATACCAAATTGTCACATCCCGGCCCGGGGTGAATCACTTCCCAGGCCCGCTCCACCACCGTAGCACGATATTGTCCGCTTTGGGCTTACCATTCCCTCACGGTTTTGTTTTTGGGAACTCACGAGCAACTTCCTAATGGGTCACCCATCATGGGATTGCTCTAGCCCTCTTCTCGCTTAACTTCAGAGTTCCTACGGAACCTGAAGCCAATGAGCTCCCAAAAGGTCTCGTGCTAGGTAGGGATGGGAATATACATATAAGAATCACTCCCCTGGGCGATGTAGGATGTCACAATCCACCCCCCTTAGGGGCCCGACGTCCTCGTCGGCACACTCGCGACCAGGGTTAGGCTCTGATACCAATTTGTCACATCCCGGGCCCGCTTCACCACCGTAGCACGATATTGTCCGCTTTGGGCTTACCATTCCCTCACGGTTTTGTTTTTGGGAACTCACAAGCAACTTCCCAGTGGGTCACCCATCATGGGATTGCTCTAGTCCCCTTCTCGCTTAACTTCAGAGTTCCTACGGAACCCGAAGCCAATGAGCTCCCAAAAGGCCTCGTGCTAGGTAGAGATGAGAATATACATATATGGATCACTCCCCTGAGCGATGTGGGATGTCACAATCCACCCCCCCTTAGGGGCCTGACGTCCTTGTCGGCACTCTCGCGACCAGGGTTAGGCTCTAATACCAAATTGTCACATCCCGGCCCGGGGCGGATCACTTCCCGGGCCCCCTCCACCACCATAGCACGATATTGTCCGCTTTGGGCTTACCATTCCCTCACGGTTTTGTTTTTGGGAACTCACGAGCACCTTCCCAATGGGTCACCCATCATGGGATTGCTCTAGCCCCCTTTTCGCTTAACTTCGGAGTTCCTACGGAACCCGAAGCCAGTGAGCTCCCAAAAGGCCTCGTGCTAGGTAGGGATGAGAATATACATATAAGGATCACTCATCTGGCCGATGTGGGATGTCACAATCCACCCCCCTTAGGGGCCCGACGTCCTCGTCGGCACACACGCGGCCAGGGTTAGACTCTGATACCAAATTGTCACATCCCGGCCCGGGGTGAATCACTTCCCGGGCCTGCTCCACTACCGTAGCATGATATTGTCCGCTTTGAGCTTACCATTCCCTCACGGTTTTGTTTTTGGGAACTCACGAGCAACTTCCCAGTGGGTCACCCATCATGGGATAGCTCTAGCCCTCTTCTCACTTAACTTCAGAGTTCCTACGGAACCTGAAGCCAGTGAGCTCCCAAAAAGCCTCGTGCTAGGTAGGGATGAGAATATACATATAAGGATCACTCCCCTGGGCGATGTGGGATGTCATAGGAGGGGCACATTTTGAATGTGGAATGCAGTGTGTTGAAGCTATAAGTCTAGGGATAGGCAACAACTATGGCGGGCAGATAACCGCGGTTATTTACCCATAACCGTTTAAGTTTTTACCCACATAATCGTTTACCCATTGGGTATTTACATAAACGGGTATACCCATACCCATAACCGCATACTCATTTACCCATAACCGCGTACCCGTTTACTTTTTTTTTTTTTTTTTTTACCTGTCTACCTTTTTTTTTAACTACTTGAAAATTAAAAAGAAATTTGTCATAATTTTCTTTCTTCTAACTATTAAATACCGTTATAAGTACATTTAACATGTATTTTTATATTAACGGCAATATTATTTATGAATATATACGATGTCTCTCAATTATTTGACGGTCAATCTATTACAAGAATCGTGCATGGTTGTAGGTTAATTAATATTCTTGTATATATAAGCATGCATCAGTCTACTAATAGGTTAATTTGATAAATATTTGGATTTTTATTTAGAAACATATGTTCATCGATCCAAGCCATTTAATCGATTTCTAATTTTGGGGTCAAATATTTATTGAAAACTCGAGGGCAATTAAATATATATATATATATGGGTACGCATCATCTAATAATAACATGTTTCTAAATGCTCAAGGTAATCATTATCTTGAATTGGTCAAAGCTCTAAAAGACTCCAAAACAAAACTATCGAACACTAATGCTTTAGCACATTCAAATCACATATATTAACCATTAGCCCGTTCTATCAACTATATTATTCTCTCAAGTGAGGTGTATATATATTATATAGCCCTTTATAACCAAATATATCTCAGGATACTAAACCTAGTTAGAAACTAATTTTTTTTTTTTTTTTTATAGTTTTACATATATTAAAATAAACGGTTAAATGGGTACCCGTTTATAACCGCGGGTAATACCCATAACCGTCCATTCAAATTTCACGGGTAAACGGTTATACCTAAAACCATTTATTTATCTAAACAGTTACCCATAACCGTAACCGTCAAATTTAAATGGGCGGATAACCGCGGTTACCTATAACCAATGGATATTTGCCCATCCCTAGTAAGAATCCTCCTGACCAAGCCCATCAGGCCTTTGAAATTTTATCCAACGGCTACAATTATTATAACTTTTAAAGGGACCCCTTATTTGTAGCCGTTGGATAAAATTTCAACGGCCCGATAGGCTTGGTTAGGATGATCCTCACCCTTTGCTCAAGAGAAGATCCTGATCCGTATGTTTTGATATGAGTCTAATGTATTGCACAGTCATAGATAAGGTCTAATAAGTAGAGCAATTAAAGTGTCCATAATTTGCAAACAAAATTGCATCGACTTTCATTGAATGTTTTATCATGACTCTTCTAAAATTAACATGGAACTTTAAGTTACACATTAAATCTCATTATTTCATAAAAAAAACTCTCATTTTTTTAGTATAAAATATATTGTTGTATTAAAAAAAAAAAAAATCTTACTCATCAAATCTCGTCGTTTCATCAAAAACTCTGACTCATGTTTTGAATTTTCCCTGCAATTCCTACAGATTAGTATCCAAATTTGAATTTGAATTCACATGAAGCTATGAGAACTACAAGTAATTTTACATGTTTTCGTTGAGTCGTTTACAACAGTAAGCTTCATTTTTGCTGGTATTTTTTACATGATTATAGTCTACATGATTCGCGAACATTATACATTGATTGTCTTATGTAATTAATTGCTCAAAAGGCTTTTGACATTGATTGTGTTAGTTTCAAGGGCT